CGCGACAGGGAAATAGCAATTAACCCCAAATTTGTCCGCCAATAGTTCAAACTTTGCGACCAAAGTGAAAATGCCTTAGGACGGTTATCCTAATAACCCAGAGAGGATCGACTCGACCAGCATTCAATAAAATTCACAAAAAAGAGAACAATCCTCAAGCAGCAGCCGAACGCATAAACGATAAGTTTGAAGACCTTCCAAGATGCTGGATGCGTCGAGACAAATCAAATGCAAAGAGTGCTGGGATGCGCACAGTAAATGTGAAGATGAATAGTTGAAAAGAAAAGCGTTGAAGCAACGACTTCATGTTTGCGATGCTGAGCCGGCTAGTCCACAAGCTAGGAAGGCCGCTTCCATGTTGCAGATAGGCGGTCAACTCTGCATCGAAAGTAGGCAACGAAGTTTTAGACCAGAAAAAGAGGAAAGATAAGGGTTCTTGTCGTTGCTTCGCCGGAATAAGTAATCCACTGCGTATACCCTTTATCACACGCAGGTAAACGTATACGCAGTCGATTACTTAATCTATCCATTCATGCAAATCGAATACGTGTGAGCAAGTAGGGTAATTGAAAGCGGTCCAGAATTCGCTCCAGCAAACAGGTGCGACCTATATCCTGGAAGATAGCCAAGCTACTCGCCAGTGTATTCGGCGTAAAATGCACTCTCCGACTTCTTACTAATAGACGTACGTGTGTAGATTAGTCAATAGAGGTACTCTGCACTACCCACAGGATCATCGGTTAGACGCTCTCCCCTAAGTAAATCAATCCAGTTTTGTCCTCGCAGTTGAGGATTTGATACCAGACTTGTTCAGGAGGATAACAAACACAAGCCTAGTACATAGTATGCTCTCAGAAGTCATTATATAGGCCAAACACGCATTCAGTCACTTCTAATGAAGTTGAATACATGGTGCATCTTTAAGGACTTGATCAACGCCGAACGGTTAATCTCTCATCATTTTATTTATAAGCGGAATTTTCCCAAATAAAGTAAGCTAAAATCTCAGTTTCGGTATTTTAATAATACAAGATCGAGAAAAACTACGAAAAGCTTCCGATAATTTACGACATTATCGAGTTGAATACGACGAGAAGGCATTGTTGATCAAAAGCAGTTTATCGCAGCCCCTCAGAAACATGCAAAAGCGCAGTCCACGGAGCTTGTAACCTCGCAAACACATGTAGGACACGAAGATCAAAGAATCGTTTTAGAAGCAACAATGAGGGTCTAATGCTTACGTCTAAGAAAATGCAGTGATCAAGAAAACCAATGATGGCTTTTGAGAATAGTTGTTGCTTACTTCCTAAGTATCCCTTCATTTGATGTTGGACATGGGAATCTGTAAGTGAAAAAATGCTACGGCACGAATGACTGCGTCGCCTTCAGTCGAAAGTTTTGCTTAATGTAAACCGCTGTCACCACATTTGTTCTCCACTAAATTGCATCAAAGCGCTCTCAGAGTGATTTGCTGTGTTAAAAATAATTACAGGCTAACCATTTCCGAGAGAAAGTGTATGTCGTGCACGGTCATCCTGCCTATAATGGGTGATCGAATGAATTTTCGTAATTATCGCCCGATATCCTTCTTGAGTGTGCTCTACAAGCTGTTCACGAATAACATCTTTTTGCGCAATTCAGGGACATTGGATGAGGCACAATCAGTTCAGCGAGGACTCTGAAAGGAATTCAGCTCCATAAGCCATCCAAACCGTGCCAAAGAAGTCTATTGGTAGTAGCAGTTGCCTCCTTTTCTAACTTCTGTAGACTACGAACAGTCAGCGTTCGTCGACGAAAGAGTGAACCGATCCTATATAAGAATTCTGATTGCTACCACCACTGCAGTACAAAAATATTGGGTTGGCACATACGAAATGTTCGATGTTATTGTTTTAATTTTCCGTGTACTTTTTAAAATAAAAAATCTGTTTTTTATGTGTTTTTAATATATACTTCTTGAGCGGAAAGTTTGCTTTTTCTACCCTAGCGTTGGTTTTTCTCAACACTTATTATTTTCACATTTCTATAGGCTTTAACTTTAGTACAAATCAACGTGATATTCGTGTTTTTTTGTGCGAGTGGGAGAGTGGGCAAAATGCTGCGGCAGGAGCTCGGAATATCATCAAACTTGAGGTTAGGATAGTGTTGGTGAATCACCAATGCGAACCTGGTTCCAGAAAACCCGATCTGGTGATTTCGACCTCGAAGTTAAGGAAGCCCGAGGACATCCCAACAAACTTAACGACGACGAATTGAAGGCACTAGTGGAACCAAACACGCGAAAAGCTGTTCGATAGCCTGCAGGACAGATTTGCGTAAGCATAGGAACAATTTCCACTCATTTGAATCGCATAAGGAAGACCAAAAAAAAGTAGACAAGTGGGTGCCGCACGAATTAAACGATAATAAAAAAATCTCCGTTTTGAAGTGTCGTATGCTATTATTCTGTGCAAGAAAACCGACCCTCTTCTTGATCAAATTGTGATGTGCGACGAGAAATGGATTCTGTACAGCATCCGGCGACGTTCAGGTCAATGGTTGTATTACGATTAGGCCGAAATTGCACCAAAAAGGCTATGGTGACTGTTTGGTGGTCTGCAGCGGGGTAGACTCATCGCAGCTTTTTCAATTCGGGCGAAACGATTATGGCAGGGAAGTATTGCCTCGACGAAATGCACCGTGAACTCCAACAACAACGACCGGCACTAGTCAACAAAAAAGAACCAATCATTCTCTACGACAACGCCTGGCCTCACGTTGCGGAACCAGCGCTGCAGAAGTTGAACGAGTTGGGGTATTAAACTTTGCCTTACCCGCTATATTCAGCAGACCACTCGCCTAGCAACTATCACTTGTTCAAGCACCTTGACAACTTTCTAGAAGAGAAATGCTTCACCAACCACGATGACGCAAAAAATGCCTTCAACAAATTCACCGCTTCCAGAACTTCAGAATTCTATAAAGCTGGAATGACTAAGTTTGTTTATTCTTGGCAAAAATGTGCTGATTCTAATGGTGCTGTTACTAAAGGTTTGCATTTAAAATCCGATATTTCATATGTTACAACCTAATACAACTTATCTATTCGGACTTCACCATTCATGCAAGAAAAAAAGTTCGACCATCTCGTTATCTCGCTAGAGCTGTTTACTACCCGATAATGAAGTCATTCGTTTGTAACGAGAAACAGACAATGGTGGCCAATACATGTCAGGTTTTCGTTTTCCTAATAACATCGTAAGCCCTTAGGAAACAGTTGTGAGGCAGAAATTACAATCATTGAGCTTCATCGGAGAAGGATAAAAGATTGAAATGCGTACAACGAGAAAAAAAACCCAGTTAATGAAGAACGAATGAGACGACGGTCAACGAAACAAACTGGATAGTTCCTTGAATACCGGCGCCACCTACTACGTGCATTGTGCGTTCAATGAGCATGTACAACAACATGAAAAAAATAATTCAGAAGAAGGACAGTCAGATGTTCATTATTCTCTTCACTATATCCTCAATGCTTTTGAAAGCTCACCAAACCGCTCGTTTCCTTCTGCTCAACTCTTGAGTTACGTCGTTCATCAATCATGTTGATTTACGTACCTAGACAGACGTAACCGGAGCATTCGGAGATATTCGTCCCGTTGAGCGTGAATGGGACATACGAAGCGAATCTGTTCCTCATAAACATAGTTCTTGTGAGATTTAGTCAAAGACCAATCTTTCCACAGGCGTTAACAAATCTAGCAGGCATTCGTTTCTCCTAGCTAATGCTTGTTGTTATAACAACAATGTTGTCAGCGAAGCAAATGTGTAACTGCCGACCAATCATTTCACTTCCATAATGTGCCATTTCAATGTTGCATGACGTTCTGAAGGTTAGCAGCAAATAGTTCTAGCGAAATAAGATCGCCCTAAAGCTTTTCTTAAATCGACGAAATTAAGACAGAAAGGTCTTTGGTACTCTTATGATACTTCAATAAGTTTCGTTATCGTGTGGATGTGGCCCATTGTACTGAACCCTTTTCGAAATCCTGTTTGCTCATGTGACTGTCCTTTGTCAAATGTTCTGCAATTCCTGTTTAGGATGGATGACTCGAGTGAAACGTTTGTAGACGACAAACAGCAAGAAGATTGAGCTGTAGCTACCGATATCGTGGAGGTCGTGCTTCTTGAACAACAACATAGTCCTCCTGGATTTCCACTGAAAAGGGAACTTACGTTGTAAGATATAATGTGTGAAGAGTTGTGCCTCTGTGTCGATGAGGACTGGCGGAAAGATTGTTCAGGTGTTCAGATATTATCATGTCTGGACCTGGTGTTCGAGTTTTCAACAAAGAAATATTATGTCGGCTTTTGGAAAGAACCGATGAGACAATACACTCCTGCTCCCTTTTCTCAGATGTGGGCAAGGGGATGTTGCTATTGAATCGATTTGAGTAGTAGTTATGAACGGCCTTTTTCATTGCTCTTCGTGCTTTTCGGGATCTATAACCTTTTGGTCCGCGCCTCAGAGTGCAATCACCTTAATATAATTGGGGAAGTTTCGATGGGTTTCGAGAATGATTTTCCTATTGGGAGCTCTCTTGGGGTTAGGAGAATGAAGCCCACTTATTTTACTCTGTTTAAAATTTAATTCCAACGTATCGCCTGCTGAGTTCTGAAAGCGGGAACTAGATACACTTACGGGTAGCTTGCCAGTCTCTCCGAGAATATCTGGGGGAGCTTGTTCGTTGGAGGTGTTAACGGCCGCCTTGGTTTTCTCAGTAGCTTGATTGCAGGCTTTTGGCCGAATTGTCTCGAAGATTATAATCCACAAGAGAACACACCTGCACCGCACACATGTCTATTTCTTCGTAAACACTGAGGACACTCGAACACGCATACATACATACATACATACATACATACATACATACACATACACATACACATACACATACACATACACATACACATGCACATGCACATGCACATGCACATGCACATGCACATACACACACACATTATTCGTAATAGTATAGTAGAAGATAATCCCACCAGCTTTCCCTGCTGGCTAGGCATTGGCAAAACACACGGTCAGCTTCTTCCCTAGCAACATGAAGATCATCGATAAGCGCGTCATGCTCTGTGCAACAGCGGTCCACACCTAAAAATGGGGTGAGCTCAAAATTTACTCAATATTAAATGTAGCAAGTGTTTATCGAACAATATTCGAGTTATTGTAGATATACCTACTGAATCGCCTGGAAACGCAATTAGATATGAGATTGCACCGCTTACTGGTCCAATACCACAATTCCATGCATCGGTTTTTTTCATTTGCACCAGCATTAGTAAAGAAGTTATGTATAAATGCATTAAATCTGGAATAATACGTGTTTAAGTTGTAGATATGCAAGCCATTGTGCAATATCATATGTTAAAGTGTCTAGTCGAGTACGAAAATGCTGCCGACATTGCCTTTCACGAATAGAGTAAGCGCAACTACAAAGCGATGCTCCAAAAGATCCGTTCAGTAGAAATCGGTGGTAGTTATTGAACAGCCATCGAACACTCTAAGTCATCAGTTCGCATTCGCTTACATGATCGTCTATGTACTACACAAATTTGTAAGATTTGCCTTGACCCAGTGGCAATGGCTGCATGAGTTCCGGTACAGTGTACCTTATCACCTGTTAAGCATGCCCAGATGACCATATTGGCTAAAACGAAAAAACCACCCTGTGTCAGTATAAAAAAATGCCAAGATGGAAAATCTAGACCCAAATGAAGCAATCCACGAGACAGACAGAAGAGGCAAAGGAATTGCGAAGAAGATTTTGAAATAAAAGTCACGATCCCCACACAGGAACCTAAAAATTCACCAGACCTATAGTGTGTCTGAAGGACAACCAATGAACGAGAACCACTAGCGACTGGATTCTTCGTGACGTCAAACGCACACCAGGAAAATCACCGACTTAATGGTCAGATTTCTTCATAAAAGTCGTCGAAAAATGATACCATAATAAGCGAGCAGAACCCACTGGCATCCCCTTATGTAGTGCTAATTCCAGCACTGATCACACAAAATTCTTAAGGCATTTTGGACAAAATCCAAAGACCCAAACGTTAACCACATGGAGGAACGCCCTGTAATCACATGTGACCTCGCCCCATGTCGCAGGACGATTTTTTTAACTGGTGCAAGAACATTCCTCACCCGTAGAAATCTTGTGCGGTTATTCTCAGTTCATGAGTATAAGACAAAAAAAAAACACTATGAACGCTTTGCCGAAGCCGTTTACCACGTAATTAGAGATCACACTTAAAATTTTCCATTTATGTGATAGACAGTTGGTTGAGCAGAATGCCTATCAGTACGATCCTGTTCATCCTCTTAAGAATACCAAATCGGGCGAAATGTTAGTCCCTGAGCAATAAATGCTTACTCGATATTTGAACAGCCCGTCCTCAGTAGTTGTGCAGGCCTAGCATAATCACCATTTTTCTGAGATTTGCTGGTTTAGCCATTGTGGTTCTCTGGAATCCCGAGGTCAGCCTGGCCAAAGTCTGCCCCAGGTCGTCACCACGACAGGCAGTCGCAGCCCTGTGGATCAGATAAGGATTTGCCACCATGCGACTTTGATACCAGTACGGTGGTGGATCCTGGTATTAGTTTACTCTTAGCTAGGCTTCCTCATGGAAACGCCGGACTCCTCAGCTTGGAGACCCTACCAGGGGATGAATCCCCCGCTGTCCATCGCAGTCCGACACCCAGGAACGCCTCCCAGCCACGATGGGGCGGTAATTGTGAGGAGCAATAAATATTATGTCAGTAACGTCATGTCTGCTTATGAAGGAAACATATGCTCTCAACATTAACTCAAATTGCACTAGAACAATTCTCTAGAACTTTTAAGCGCTCTCCATCTAATAAACACTATTACAATTCAGAAATCTCAAAATGCTCGCACTGGAGCACAGCAAAGGACGATGTCTTATATACTGATAGACCCTATCTACATAACACGAGAGGATAATGTTTCTTTTGGATTACCAACGCTTCCAACAAAATCGTAGCATTGTAGACATACAGCAAGTTATCAACTCTCAAACCAAACCAACCTTGAAGATAGATCCTGGTTCCTTTTTCAGCTTCCAAAAATGTTTTATTTTTGTCCTCAACTCCACTGGTGTTTACCCTAAAAATTTAATCCTATTTTCATCGATCTCTGCCGTTCTGTTGTAGGGCGATATTTAAAAAGGAGAACAAACTCGCACAAAAAAACGGTATCTTGTAAAATATTAAGTGAAAAGCGTGCCTTTCCTAGTCGGAATAAAATTAGCATTGAATAACCTATGGAACTGCTACAAAAAGTGTACCGAAGAAATATCAAATTATGCTGCCATTGAAGTGGATCGCACCAGCATCAACCCGTTGGAAAAAAAAGTTTAACGGATCGAAATCTACAAAAATGGCTATTGATTGGAAACCGTGTGGGCTCCATGTTGTCCATGCTGTGTACGTGGGATTGACACAGTGCATCACTTCGTCCTTTGCTTGGGTGTTGGCAGAAAGCCGTAAACTTATTCAGAAAGGGAAGATTGGAAATCTCAGTCAAGTTGTCAACTAGCTCGTCGCTTTATCTCGTGCTCAGTGTAGTTAGTGTGCTATATAGTTAGTGCAATATCAATTCTAACCAATATCACGGGAAATTGGACCAGCATTCTGACAGATTCCGTTTCAAACTTTTTGGCTTCCAATATATAAGAGTTGTCTATAAACGTGTAGTATGTAGCGGATAAGATGGAAGATTATGTGATATCGATGTTATTCCATTGGTATTATTTCTCAGTGATAATGCATTCACGGTTAAATATCTAAAAAGGTAGAAAGTTGTCTAAAGGTTAATCACTTTGAGCCGGTCGTAGTGTGGACACGCTTTGAATAAAAGACTTCTGTGGGTTTTTTCTTTGAAGCACTGTCATCGAAAAACAAACAGTGAGATGGATGAAAAACCAGTGGTTTCGGCCTTCCACTAATGTTGCTGAGATGGCGCATACATGAGAGATACTTTGAGATGTGATTTTTCCCTCGATTTTTATTCCTACTAATAGGGCATTCCTTAATGAAGTGTGTGTCGCTTGTGCAACGTTTTCAAGCTCATCACTCACGCAGATGGGAGTCACTTCGATTCTTTTAGGCAGAACAAGCATTTAGACCCATGAAAGAGTTTTGAATCATGGATTCAGATGAGTACGACAGTCATTGCGAAATTTCGTGGTCTTATTAACAATGCGCAGATGTCTTTCTCCTAGATGATCTATCGTCATTGGTTTTTGTGGAAAATCCATAACGAATAATAACAAACACTCTAACAACTTACATACATGGCAACATGACATCTGTGCAATTAAAGTTTTGTAAGCTTCCAGTGTGAACAAGAATACCAGCGCCTCAACCAAGCATGGTATTGAAACGGATATTTTGAAATAAAATTTCGTTTATTTCAGTCATGGATTAAGCGACTTTCTTCGTCACAAAATAACGCTTTACATTGCCGCAAACTTCTGCATACTTCTCTCTGTGGTGAATAATCAAACGTGAGAACTGTAAAAAGAGCTGACATTATCGAGTCAGCGAAACCACCTCGATATAACTTCAATGAAGCTGAGATATTTGCAAAACTCCAGACCGCAGATGTATGCGGTGGGGAACGATTATAACTGCGGCCTCAGCTTAACTGGGTTCGTTGCCGATTTGTGCCCCCCAGATCAATCCCGTTGAGGGGTGATTGCTGATGGCAAAAGATCGATAGAACTAGCTGAGATTCAGGCAAAACGAAAACCCGGATGGTGTGGTGGTGAAGTGCGCTACTCCCCGGTAAGGACAATGGGCGCGTTCGTTCCCCACCGCATACACCTGCAGTTCGGAGTTTTGCAAATATCTCAGCATCATTGACGTTATATTTCACAATGTATACCCTGCCGTTAAAAAGAGTAGGCAGCAAATAATACGTTAAATTGTGATTATCACTTCGATATAGTTTTAAATAGCTTCAATATCCTTCTTTAGTAAGCATATTTCTATAGAATTTAAGATAATGACATATAAAACTTAAGTTTACAAAGAAAATAATTGTTGGAACGGCGAGATATAACATAAAATCCTACTTCCTTGGTCAATGCAATGGATGATATCCTCAATTTTACACTTAAAGACGCGACCATCAGTTGTTATGGGATATCGTCAATGAAGAATAAATCATTCAGCACACCACCTCAACCAGTGGTCCTTTAACAAAAGTTTGAACGAGCAGTTACAAAGTCTATAAATACCTTTCTGTGAATAGGATTAAATCCTTCCGAATTCAGTAGGAATTAAGTGCATGATTTATTAAACTAACATTGTGTAAAAGATTTGTCCTCATCGAAAATAGGAACAACTCTCAGTGAAATTGGTTGGTGCCTAAAGTGTTGAAGTAAACGAGCTTTCACAACTCACGGCAGTATGAAAGCGTTTAATCTAGGCACAAGAAAGAGTTTTCCAGGTGATGTACATTCAGCTCAGTTCGAACGATCCAGAGAAAGAGTGAACATTCAGTGAAACAATATTTGAACTTCACACACTTAAAACCGTTCGGAGGCAGGAACGAAACAATGTCTCAAATTTGCATAAGTCACGATGACTGTGTGAATGCTTAATAGAGCGAAAACAGCATTTCAATGACATCGAAAACATTATTGAGCAGACCTAGTTTGCAAAAACGCTGACTGCTGCAATGAGTTCGTAATGAACCACACCACGAAATCTTTTGTTACCTAGTTTTTAAAAAGGATTTCGCTTTCTGAACTAGAAGCATAATTTCTTCATTTCTGAATATCTAAATTACCAAAGCATCCACTGGGTGCTACTCGCTTGAGCAACACGAAAATCATAGCAGCTTTCGCATAAGGCCCGAAAGATTTTTTTTGTGGCAAGTTATCCGTGTGTACCTCATCGAAAACCTGTCAGGATGTTTCTATGAGTAGCCTATCGACTTCTTCCAGAATTCACATGGAACTCCTTTGTTGAAGATAATATTGAACCAGTTCTCATCAATTTCACCAGCTGCTCAACTGCAAGCTTTTTGTTAAACTAATGTGCACGACATAACCCGCTTAAAAGCAATCACGCCCACACATTTACGCAAGCATAAGATTACGCCTATGCGGAAGGTAGCAATAAATCCGACGCAACAAAAACTGGAAACGCGTCCACCGAATCCATCATCCCACTATAGCAAGAATATGATTTCTGTACAGATGTGAAGATTGGTCACTTAAAAAAATCTTACGAAATCTTTCGTTTTCTTTCAGAAATATAGCTTTTTAGGAAACTCGTAAAAATCTGAAAGAACTTGTGCTACTCTCGCACGCTCGCTGCAGCTAGAAACTACAAGTAATTCCTTAATGAAAAACCCCTTGAAGAATTTTTTATGAGATTATATTATAGACTATAATATGTCAATAATACGACCGATAAAGAGGCGAAACGAAGGACTTGCATGATGTGGTGGTGAACGTGTTAGCCGTCGAAAAATGTGGCAGCGTGTTCGGTCCCCACAGCAGACACCAGTGGTCCGGAATATTGAAAATGTCTCAGCAACATTATGGTTGTAACAGACTTCGCCCATTTGCTTTAATAGTGTGTACAACTTCTCCAAACTACTACCTTCGTTTTAGATTTTTTAAAAACTTCACCCTTGCATAGTGAAACATTAACGATCTACCTGAGGATATCACTGCTGTTGCTGTTCAATGTCTTCAATCTGAAAAACCGAAATCACTGCGGTAAGTTACCATGCCAATTATATCTATTATTTCAAGCAACTACCAAAGAGCTCTTCCTCTGAATTATAACCGACAGACACATTTTGAGTTGGATTGCACAAACCAGACTTCGAAAATCATCTCGTCTTTGAGATCAAAGAGAACACTGTTTGGAATCGAAACCTTTACGACCTGCAGAGAGGTTTATCAACTTCCCACAGAACTACGAGGAGAGCAATGTAGCGGATTCCAGGAGCGAGCACGTGTTCTTCTCGACAGTCATATAGTAGATGCACAAGCATGTTTGTGTCTTACGTAGATCAGTTTTCGGTCGCAGATAAAAATTACTTCTCAATCAAGTACGAATAATAAGTTAGTACTTGGTTCTGGTTCATAACATCTAAGTAGCTTCAATGCAGAGCACATTGTAGAACTCACTAATCGAAAGAAAGCCATTAGAATATACTAAATCTTAAGAAAGAGCTACAAACTCAGTAATAGTGAATTCGGCAACATTAATTGTTAGTTGGATACTGAAATAAGACACGAACGTCTAGAAAATGTCTATTTTCATTGTCTATCCTCAGAAAAGAAATTTGTATATGACTGAAGTCCTTTCAACGGTTTACCGCCGCTTCGTGGTTGGAAGGTGTACCTGGGTGTCGGGCTGCGATGTACAGAGGGGGATTCGTCCACCCAGCAGGGTCTCCCAAGCTAATAAGGAGTCCGGCATTTCCATCAGGAAACCTAGCTAAGAGTAACCCAATGTCAGGATCCACCACCGTCCTGGTATGAAACTAGTCGCATGGTGGCAAATCTCGCCTCGATTCACAAGGGTGGCGACTGCCTGTGGTGGTGAAGACCTGTGGCAGAATTTGGTTAGCCTGACCTCAAGACTCCAAAGAACCACAATGGTTAGACAAGCAAAACTCCAAAAGAACGGAAATTATGCTGGGGCTCCGAAAACCAGTGAAGATGGGCCATATAAATATCCAAGTATATGACTGAAGTGCTTCTATTATGAACATATGGATATATGCCACAAACTTTCATTGCATTTGATTTCCAATATTGATTCACCAAGAACTACCTGGCTTTAAAAAAAGAGTTACTTACCTACTAACTTCCAAAAGAGTCACGCCTTTTCGAATTCTTGATTTGGTTCGTTTAAACGAGCTGTTAGTCTTGAGGTTCTGTGTGGCTGTGAAGCACGATTTTCTTAGAATGACGATTTTCACTACGATTTCGTATTTATCCATTAAAGACTATAACGTGCTACTGATTATTCGACTTATTGTTAACTTACCGTTCACTTTGGTAACCTATAATTAGGTATGGAATATGAAGCCCCTTACATCAGCACATCACCATATTACTACTTTAGTTACATGAATTTCCTGTTGTGAAGACCTGGAGTGTTTAAAAGCGCGTTGAAGGAGACCTATATTAAGCAATTGCGCTACATCTAAATGCGCGACCATTAATGGTAGACATGCATTCTTAACTATCTATTAGTATCAACAAATTTATGACGACCGCATAATGACTACCTAATGATGAGTGAGGAAGGACTAATCATTTGACTCTGAAGTCACTGATCGAAGTCGACAAAACTGGTACCGGTAGTGTATCTTCAATGAGAAGTAATAGGGAGATTAAGTTAGCAAAGTGTTCAAAAGAATTAGATAGCAACGATCAAGACGTAGTCGATGCAGCCTGACCCTTCGTCTAGTGAATGTATCTCGTCCTCATAGACTTCAATAGGAAGCACCAAGACGTTACTACTCCTGATTTCCTGAATAATGAATAATAAGGCTTGCAAGTGATTTACTTTTCGCAGGAATTTACAACCATACCTAAACTGTAAGACGGAATGATATTACCTCTTTGACGAACACTGTTTGGTTCAATTCTGGTAACAAGAACATCATTCTCCGATATATCAATATAAGAAACATAAATGTGTACAAGATAAAGCAATAGAAACGCTGCCATGAGATTGTACCAAAACAGAAAGAACACCAAACCACTTAGTAGAAGAGTTAAGAAAAACAATTGAATTTAGTCCCAACCTTTTCCACTGTGCGTGCGCAAGTATGGAAATTCTGATTCTTGACGTCAATGACCCATGACATTCCATCATGCTACAACACCGTGTTAAACATACTGGTGAAAAGATGTAGCATCGTACCAAGGACAGAAGTAAGCACAATTCAGGACTTATAGTGGTCCGGAGTCCTCCCAACGGTTTACCGCCTCATCGTGGCTGGGAGGTGTTCCTGGGTGTCGAGCTGCGATGTACAGCTAGGCTATTCGTCCCCACCGCAGGGTCTCCCAAGCTGAGGAGTCCAGCGTTTCCATCAGGAAGCCTAGTTAAGAGTAAACCAATACCAGAATCCACCACCGTCCTGGTATAAAAGTCGAATGGTGGCAAATCTCCATCTGATTCACAAGGGCTGCGGCTGCCTGTCGTAGTGACGACCTGGGACAGGCTTTGGCCAGGCTATCTTGGGCATTCCAGGAAACCACAATGGCTTAACCAGAAAATCTCCGAAAAATGGTGATTGTGCTGGGGCCCGCACAACTAGTGAGGATGGGCCGTTCAAGTATCAAGTATTAATTAAGTGGTCCGGAGTACTAGGATTCGCCTACAAATCGGTCAACTATGTTAGAAGTTTATCTGAAGCCTTCGGTGTCATATTCGGAACGATATCGATTGCGAATTTACCAATCACTTGAGGAGAAACTTTCTTGCAACAAAAATAAAACACTAAGGCCATTAAATAAAGGGCAAGTGTAATGCAATGATCCGCAAATAGTAACTTATTCGGTACAACAGTTTTTACACCTAGTTGGACTTCTTTATAACAAATGGAAAGAGAAAGGCAACACTAACGGCTCCACAGTACTTTCACCACGTAGGTTGTATGAGGGCATGAAAAGCAATGCCTTTTCCACGAAGGTGACTGCGATTTAACGATTTATTGTCATCAACAGCTGATTCAAGCAGGATGACATAACAACTAACGTATATCTTCCTAGGTGAATTCAATCTCTTCATAAATCTTTTTAATCTGTTAGTGGTACCAACCAAATCGTAGATGTGGGTTACACCAACGGTCCCGTCCAAATCAATGAGCTGCGAAAAAATCCAAACAAGATCGCGCATTGTCTCTGGACCTAAAAAAGGTCCATCAATATTTGGACTCACCCACTCAAGAACAGAAATCTGGAATATCCCAAGACAACAAAATGCATAAGGAGTAAGAATTTAAAGACACCCTCCGCATGATCCAGAATGAAGATCCGGTTTGCTATAGCTCACTTCCACAAAATTTTAACAGATCTCTAGAACAGGACAAATATTTTGGTAACTAAGGTCAAAAACGACATGGTCTATTATCGAACTGCGAGGTTATATACAAATATTGCTGACTCCTATAGTCGAAAACAGTGAACGCAACTTCCACATCCCCATTGGAACTATGCTGTTTCCTCTCATAATCCACGTACATTTTAAATTTCCATTCTTAGTATACACTGTCTCGAAATTCATGAGCAAAAGCTGGTTAGATAGAACGTTTCTTGTAGTAGGACAAAAGTTTATGGAATGAGGAATTACAGAAACAACTGAGCATAGACCATATGTGAAACAAGGCTTTTCCTTCCTAAGCCAGTAGTTGTCCAAAATGCAAGTTATACCAAGGTTTTGAGAAAATCGTCCTTACGCTTACGGAGGGCCTCCTCGATACCCTTAGAACCGGACTCTTCAATGCATTCAAACACAAACTGTAGAAATATCACAGAAGAAAACAAACACTACTCACAATTAGCAGAAGCTAGACTGAAAGCCCAACATTTTAAAAAGAAGATGAAACTAAGAACCTTTAGACTAACGGGAATATTGACTCCCTTTCGTTTTAAAACACTGATGGCATGGATCCACGCGATAACCGGTCGCTGCAAAAGCAAATAGAATTGTGATTCGTCTCCTAAGGCACTACTCGCACACAGATAGTACGTTACCGACTCGGTTATGATATCCCTTAAAAACAAATTCGTAAACGACTTCACTACCAATGCCGACTCCAACACGAAAGATGGACGAGGAAGTCCATCTTAAAGCGGTAGAATAGCAGCGTCCTTCTGCATGTACAGTCTCAACAACCATCCCTTATCATTATAACATGAACCTGCACTATATATACGCTGAGAAGAGTAGGAAACAAGCACGGAAATCGTAAATACAAACATCACCTTATCATCAAACTTGTCGTTCATTTCTACTAGCCTGAACGCATTACCTTTCCGGCCGTTATAAAAACAAAACAATTACAGAATAATGATAGCCCTTTATTTGCTGCCTACTATAATTTTCACGACAGGGTATGGTGTGATATACAACCACAATGATGCTGAAATATTCGCAAAACTTGGATCATAGGCCAGATCGAACCACGATTGCCATTTCCGGGTGCCCGCACGTTATAAGTGCGCTTGATTACACATCCTTATACCATAATCTCCCGTGAAAATTACAGCAGGCAACAAATAAAAGGTCAACATTGTGAATTCGACTACAGCCTCAGCTTGACTGGGTTCAATGTTGAGTTTTGCTCCCCAGATGAATCCCGTTGACGGGTGAGTGCTGAAAGCAGCGTTAGGTAGAAAACTAGCTGAGAGAAAGGAAAGACAAGGGTTTCAGTGGTTCAGTGTGCAACGCGTAAGCCTCTGGAAAGGGTAATTGTAGTTTGACTTGGCCTGGGGGTCCACGTTTTGTGAATATTTCAGCATTACTGTGGTTGTAATCACAGTATACTTTACAATCAATTAAAATCATTTTACTAGAACATAAAAGTCGAATCTGCACCATCTTTTTGGGCGGATGTACGTCTAGACGACCGTGTACCGGGAGGTCTTTTTCTTCTCATCAGTACCTAAATTTTTGTTTACGAAGTGTTTTGAAAAATAATATGTTGTAGCACAGTATAACTCTATATCAACCAAAAAATCTTAAAGCATGTTCAAAAACTTGTTATTTTCTTGAAAAGCAGGCAAGCAACACACAACAAACATCAGGCATCTCTGCCTTGAAAGCTCTGATCTCTAACATTTTCAGCACTTACGGAGGTGTGTCATGTTTTTTGAAAACTCTTCTCTAATAAATTACGAATTTGAAAACTTCGATTTTTAAACTACAGATTACCATGTTTAGTGAATATCTCACCACTAACATGGTACTAACAAGAGAAATAGATACATGCCACAATCAAACACTATGAAGGACTATCTGAACTTACTTAGTGTCTCAAATAGAATTGCAGGAAGATCGATGACGGCACCACTGTATAGCTTCCGCTTGCCAGTTCCGATAACTTGAATGGATACTCCGACTTCTTCCAATTTCTTAAGGGAAGATGTGAAGAAAAAAGATTTAATTCCATTCTGGAGTAAAAAGTTGTGTAACAGACTGAAATGTCAACTAATTCGAGTAAATCTTGATGAAATCTCTGCAGAAGTCGCATTCGGCTTGCTGATTACGGCCAATGGGCAGCACGCATAGCACAAGCGTTCATCCGTGTCATATCCTAACCCTTTACTGGACTTACAGGTTTAAACGGCGAACTCGTCCTTAGCTTAAGTGGCCACAGTAGTAGGATAACATTCCAATGCACATCGAAATTCGACACATGACATTCATCGACCAGACAGCGACAAGATGTGACTTAAAAAGAACGAATTAAACCACTGATATAAAAGCAATCGACGGAATTGCCATCCAGAATATAAGTGGAATTTGCAACACTTAAAATTTTTCTCAGACGTTCTTGGTCCACATGAACATACGCACACAATCGGTACGGCGATCCAGCTCGCTGGAAACCGATGGAATGGCGACGACCTCTTTAGGCGCCGCGATGAACTCATTCTGATGCATAACGATCGCTCTAAACAATACAACCTCTGAACTGAGAATTACCAAACTCTGTTGAAATAGAAAAGAATGGCGACTTACGTGAAGACGCCTTGAGCGTCTCGTCAGGGACGACCATGTCCGCTGGCTGCCGTAAACAACAAAAAAGCACAGAGATGAAGCGAGACAAACTAGCACAGGGCACAACAAGTGACGAAAAACACGGCGACTGGGACAACGAGCCGCCGGAAGTGCCACTGGGATCGGGCGGCTCATGGTCTGAACGTGACGACTGCAAGTGATGCACGGCTAAAATACGGGACGCATTTGTAACTTGAATGATCGGAGCGCTAAAGTCAGTTGAGGGGGGGGGGGATAGTAACAGTAGGAAAGACCACCGAAATGCTATTAGGCTAAATTTGTAATTGCTTATCCTTGAATATTTAATGGTCTGTCTCTACCAATCTCATTGGATCGTGAAGGACCCAACAGAAGCTGACTTTGACTGTTTTTCGCCGGTTGGCCAAGATTCTCTTCCGTTGAGTAAACCTCTGTTAGGACTAACCTTCTACTTCTTACCACTAGAAACCTAGAGACTGTTGATAGGGTGATTGCTGACAGCACCTATAGGATTGAACACGGCTTAGGGAAAGGAAGGCGAAAGAGCCGCATGGTGTGTCGTTAAAGACGTTAGAGCCCCAATAGGATAGAAGCGAGTTCGATCTCCACTTCAAACATCTGCGGTCCGAAGAGTTTTGCAAATATCTCACCATCATTGTAGTTATATTTCACACCATACGATACCATGAAAAGTATAGGAAATAAATAAAAATGTGACTCCCCAGATCAATCCCGTTGACGGGTGATTGCTGATGGCAAAAAGATCGATAGAACTAGCTGAGATACATGCAAAGCGAAGGACCCGGATGGTGTAGTGGTGAAGTGCGCTGCTCCCCGGTAAGGACAACAGCGCGTGTTCGTTCCCCACTGCATACACCAGTGATGCGGTGTTTTGCAAATATCTCAGCACTTCATACGAAAAATGTGACTGTCTAGAAACAGTTTTTTTTTTGCCAAAATGGCAATGACCTGTTCTTGAACACTCAGTTGACTTCAGGAGAAGTGGAATTCCTTTTCAATTCGAGAAACGCTGTTGGGACTGATGGACAATCAACCATTACATTTCGGAGTTTACAAGGGTGCAGCTGCAGTACCTTGAGGACTCGTGGAAGAATCGTGAAATCTTTGAAATGCGAAGTAGCTTTTCTAATAGATGACGAATAAAATATACAGCAATGCACACAAGAAGAAAAATCGGTTAAAAACACCTCTTACGGTAGTTAATGGTGCCTGATCGAGTTATAAAATAGCTCGAGGATCTGCTGCTGATGAAGGTACTCTTCTTCCTCATATGACCAATTCTGGTTCTTCGAACGTTACTCTCAAAATTCAAAAACGTTTACATACAATTTTCGTGTCTCAATTAAGCTGAGGAATAAATTTGACAACGAAGTGAACCTCTCTTCTGCCATGACTAGTCATGTAGGTTTTCCTCCTCTAAGAGACGGCTTTTCAGCCAACTATAAAAACTAGATGAGCGATGTTAAGAAGGATGGAGACGGTTCCTCGTAAAAAACTGAGTTTTAAAATCATTTTACCGACATAAAGAGGATCTCACCAGGGAGCTTTGGTTCAGATCACTTACGAAAATAACTGTGGAATATCAAGTAGAATCATTCAGTGCTTTCAGCTTTCCTTGAAATCCTTTACAAATGCTTTTGTCGAGAAAAGCGCTCTTTTGGAGAGAGGAGGTGTGCTATTAACACATTCCTCAAACTATATAGTGAGGCTTGAGGCACCTAATAGGGGCAAAAGATAAGGCTCTCAGTTTTGATCGATCTCTGAGAGATGTGTCACGCATTCGAATTCATTAAGAATCGTTGGAGGTAATTGACTGCATATTTGGCCTTTTCAATGACTCGTGGTAGCTTACCGATGTATCGAGCCAGTGCTGCTATCCTCCCAGGCAGGTCTGGTACTAATTTTTTGACCCCGAAGGGATGGAAGGCTTGGTGTGCATTGCTCGTGGGAATCGATCCCATGTGTATTGCAACGCGCCTCCGACTACTGCGCCACACACGCCTTCACACTTAACAAAACGTGTTTTTTTAACGAGGTTGACAATTTGCTTCAAGCCGAAGTGGAATATAGTGAAAATTATGGGTGTTTTATGTACTTAATGTGTTAATGATACACTCCGAAGTCATCAACAAAAACGTATTCTTCTCCACCTACTTCAGTAGGTTAGTATTACATTTGACGCGAGTCGTTATCGAAATCGTTTCTCATGCTCCTAAACGAATCAGTCTTGTCGTTTTGTCATTCCACTTTTTCTTACTCCTTTAATTCACAGAAGGTCGTTGTAGCAACCCCGAGTAACTTGCTTTGTTAATATTTAGTGCGGTTCCGCTTTTTTCGAAACCTTTTGGCACATTTTCAGAACTTTTTCTTTTATCTACAACGCCAACCATTTATCCAATTCCCATGGAAATATGTCATTTTTAAAAAAGCCGGTGCTAACTAGAGATAAAGTAGGTTTATTTAGCTGTTTTGACGTCCTCGTCTTCTTCAGAGCCAACGATCCGAGTAGATGTTTCTCAGTTTAATTTAGGTCATCTTGATAACTTTGAATTCAACCAAATTAGTAACTGTTGTGGTTATACAGGAAAGGTAAAGCAGTGGTGGTCATGCCGTTCGTTGAGAGCGCAGTGCTTGTTCGATCCCATCGCTCATCCTTCCGGTACCAAACTTGTCTGGAAACAGCCCATTCCCTGCAATCGTAGCGGAACACTCTAGCTAAGTCATCTCCGATCTCTAGGGAGAGTCGATTCGACCAAAATTCACTAACGTTCATAATGATGGCGACAGTTCTCAAGCAGAACATGAACCCACACGAGGGAACCTCGAAGGATTTCGTGGGTGATAGATGTAGGGAAATGTAGCGAATCCAAGTTGTGCCAAGATCCCCACAATGGATATGAATACGGCTCGTGTAAATCTTTTAAAAAATTTTGGTTACGTTTTGATCAAATGCTACTAGCTGATTTTGGATTGGTTATCAATGTGCAATGGGAAGGAGGAAACTATTAATAATCTTGCGAAGAAATATTTGAAATAATAGTAGAGTTTAAGTGCTTCATGATGGGTAATGCCAACTTTCTTTAACTTGTATATAATTTCGTCGAATAACTTGTTTGGTTTGAAATATATGAAATACCGAATGTTAGTAGCCCAAAAATTCATAACGCAATTAGTGCCGGAGCGGTTTTGACAACGTATTTCTCACATTCATTTGCTGACAATTTGTTGACAATGGTACCCACTTGTCCCTACCCAGCGCTGGAAGTTCGCAATGAGGGACAAATTAAGAAATCTGACTACAATAATTGTTATTCAGATTATGATGCGATAGACGAGTTTGTGGAGTTTCTTCTCATCTTCGCTATCTCATTAATTCATTTAACCAACTGATGAGCACTATTGAGAGCCTACGGTTGAATTGTTGCAGACAAGAGTCGACTTTGACAATCTTTATGGCCTATGCTCTAACGATGAAAGTGAAACTGAGCCATTTTATACGCAACAGTAAAAGTTCGACGATGCCATCGACTTTACTCCAATAAAATCTCAAATAAACCTGAAAGTCTGCACAAGGATTGTGTTGAAATGAGGTTGTTTAGGAGCAGCTTTAGCTAATGCTGAACACCATTATTATCCAAATGTGCTGCAATTCTAGAGTTAATGCTCCAGTTACGACTTACGAATCTTCCTGCGGATAGTGAAACTTGCGACATCATAAGAGGGGTTTTGTATAGCCTCAAGTCACTATTGTTCCAAAGTTCAAGACGGGATCTTGCCGTTACTTTCTTCGTGCAGCTTTTTTCTTAATGCAGCAAAATACGAAATGAAGATTAACCGTAGAATTTTTAATGCAAATAGTGTAGAGAGTCCTACTCGTACCAGCACGGCTCTGAGGAAGGCAAAATCGCCGAAACGTCAGCCATCGATCAACAACACCAACATCAACGACAACAACAACGACAAATAATGCAGTTTGCTTAATTTATGCAATCGGCATGAAGAATATTAACGAGCACTACTATCGCCTCACTTAGCACCCTGCAACTGATTCAGAACTTTGAATGTAACCAGTATATTACTTGCGAAACCACACAAGGTACAAGTGAAGGTGAAAATGGCGCTGCGTTGGGCAACCATAACATTGCTTTCAATAATCCGATGCACTGTACTGAAGAGAAAATCTGCAGCCACAGACGCTTAAACGTCCCTAATGTCTTCTGGACTTCATCAGCCAGAAAATTAACACGAACGTCTTAAGGCATTGGCGCGGAACAGTCAGTGCACCCAAAAGGAAACTCGAGAAAGCCGTCCGCAACCCCCCAATACTACTATCCAATCCAATAAAATACAAATAATCAATGTCTTCCTAACATCTGTCTACTCCCACCTCATTCTATTACCGGACGAGAACAGAAGTGGGCTTAGAAATATTCTTTTGTCCTAAATCCGACGTCATACTATCTCATCGGCAACAGAACTTACCCGCAACAAAACCACACCTCGACATCCAAGCAGCTTAATGCTAGTTCTCAGTTCCGTAGACCAACGTAACTACTCAGTGGAAAATCAATAAAACCGTGTTTTATGACGAGGCAGACTTACGCAGTAGCTATAACTCCACTTACCTTTTGCGAATATCTCAGCATCGTTGTTGTTATATTTCATAGCCTACCGTGAAAAATTATAGTAGGCAGCAAATAAAGAGTGGTTAACATTGTGATTTCGACTGCAGCCAAAGCTTAACTAGGTTGAATGCCATCTTGTGCTGTCCAGATTATTCTCGCTGACGGGCAAATGCTCATGATGGCGTTAGGTAGAGAACAACCTGAAAGAAACTCAAAGCGAGAGCCTCAGTGGTGTAGAGCGTAATGCACGAGCTCCTGGAATGGGTAATCGTAGTTCGATCTGGCTAAGGGTCCAATAATCGTAGTTCGATCTGGTTAAGGGTCCAAGTTTTGCGAATATCTCTGTATCGTCGTGATTGTAACTCCACTTATT